CACATCTCGGTAGATTTACTTTGTGGCACAACGGCTGCCGAGCTACACAACTCGTAAATTTACTTTGTGACAAAACGGCCGCCGAGCTACACAACTCGGTAAATTTACTTTGTGGCATAACGGCCGCCGAACTAAACCCGGTTTGATGCATGCACCATTAGTCGCAGACATTTTCTAAAGACAGTGACGAACTATGCTGAAAAATATGAAGGCTTAATCCAAAGTAAAATTCAACAGCAAACTCCTGAAAGATGAACGCTTTGGACAGCAATCACAGATCGATGTAGGCTTTACGAAGATTCAGCAAACTTTTTAAAAGATGAACGCTTTACGAAGAATATAAGACCTCAGCAAACCTTTGAAAAATGAACGCCGAGGACACAAGAATCACCACATGAGTTAGCGCGTCAAAGTGAGGCAAAACTTAAGCAAGCACCTCAAAGCGAGGCAAATGTGTGTCGACGACGACGAACGAAAATGCAATCTCAAAAAAACCTCCCTTATTAATTGTACAGGTCACCTAATAATGCACAGAACACCCAACACAAATTAGGGGTTGCGTTCTCGTACCTCGAACGCAATAACCCGATAAACGTCACTCTAAGATGCAATTAAAAGATTCGAAAGATCACATACAATCTGATAGTGCATTCACTCATAGAGGTCAGTATTATTTCTCTGCGACCATTCTGAGCTGTCTTTTAATTCCAAAAATGAGGCTACTGATTAACCTGTCACAAGATAAATGACACTCACCGCTTAAATGAACTGTAAGTCTCTGTATCTGAGAAGTAGGTATATTCATAACATCAAGACACTCGGGCAACAAAGGACCTACAGGAAAAAGAGCGAGGTCAAAAAGGGTAACAAATCAGTGCAGGTCTTAAAGAAATTAAAAAAATGGATCTAAAAGAAAGAAGGAGCTGGATAGAGGAATTCACTTTAGAGACAAAAGCTGAGTGAAAAACAACTTTCGCACATTTTTTAGGGACATTATTTTTGTTTTTTTTCTTGAAATTTTTGACCCCCCCTTGTTTAGAAGGTAGATTTTTTTACACAAGGCCGGGAAAAGAAACACAGTGAAGCTATTATTGATTTAAGCAACTGCTCTGAGATACAGTCTATATCGCCAATATTGCATACGCCTCAGTCAAAAGTCCACGGACAGTAAAATATTCGGACTGTGCTATTGTTCGTACGGAAATGTTTCGGAAAATGTTTCGTCCTTGTTTTAAAAAATCACCAATACTGAGCAAACTTTACTTCACACGATGATTATCTTCCTATCCGGTGGTGTGTGGGATCTATTCCTTATCCCGCAAGCTTCATCATCGCCTCTTTTAATCCTGACCTGTGCGTTGCTCATGAATATTTCGTTAAGCAGGTCGATAGACTACCAGTAGTCCCCAAGTTTTCCTCAGGGATAGTAGAGCGAGCGAAACGGGAGCGCGCGTGAAAATCACCCCACGTGAGAAAGGCGAGACGCGTGTCGCCTTTTCTCGCGTGGGGTGATTTTCACGCGCGCTCGCGTTTCGTTCGCTCTGCTCTCCCTGAGGACAAATGGGGGACTACTCGCAGTCTAGCAGGTCGGGTGATCACGGAGCTATGGGGCTGGTGGGCTATAGCCAAACCAATAATAATTTTGCCGTTTTTAATTTTTTGGCATTTTCAAAAGTACTTCTAATCTTAAACACATTTTATTACTAAATATATGTTTGTTCAGGATTGATAGAAATAAACGAATTTCCGGTGATTTCAGAAACTCTAAATTTCAAAAATTTCCGGAGAAGCATGCCTGGACTCCCATAGATAAGCTCGCGCCTTCCGCAATCGTTGAACTTGCCCTACGCTCGAGCTTTCCCCACCAATTCCAAATATTCTCCGCGTCCGTACTTACANGGTAGATTTTTTTACACAAGGCCGGGAAAAGAAACACAGTGAAGCTATTATTGATTTAAGCAACTGCTCTGAGATACAGTCTATATCGCCAATATTGCATACGCCTCAGTCAAAAGTCCACGGACAGTAAAATATTCGGACTGTGCTATTGTTCGTACGGAAATGTTTCGGAAAATGTTTCGTCCTTGTTTTAAAAAATCACCAATACTGAGCAAACTTTACTTCACACGATGATTATCTTCCTATCCGGTGGTGTGTGGGATCTATTCCTTATCCCGCAAGCTTCATCATCGCCTCTTTTAATCCTGACCTGTGCGTTGCTCATGAATATTTCGTTAAGCAGGTCGATAGACTACCAGTAGTCCCCAAGTTTTCCTCAGGGATAGTAGAGCGAGCGAAACGGGAGCGCGCGTGAAAATCACCCCACGTGAGAAAGGCGAGACGCGTGTCGCCTTTTCTCGCGTGGGGTGATTTTCACGCGCGCTCGCGTTTCGTTCGCTCTGCTCTCCCTGAGGACAAATGGGGGACTACTCGCAGTCTAGCAGGTCGGGTGATCACGGAGCTATGGGGCTGGTGGGCTATAGCCAAACCAATAATAATTTTGCCGTTTTTAATTTTTTGGCATTTTCAAAAGTACTTCTAATCTTAAACACATTTTATTACTAAATATATGTTTGTTCAGGATTGATAGAAATAAACGAATTTCCGGTGATTTCAGAAACTCTAAATTTCAAAAATTTCCGGAGAAGCATGCCTGGACTCCCATAGATAAGCTCGCGCCTTCCGCAATCGTTGAACTTGCCCTACGCTCGAGCTTTCCCCACCAATTCCAAATATTCTCCGCGACCGTACTTACATTAACGTTTAAATTAAAACCCCCGCAACAAACTTTATACCTGTAGTTCCAGCAGGTGTAACCTCTCTCAATTCTCTGACCACGTCAGGTCTGTTGGACTGTTTTGCTTTATTTGCAAGGCAACGAATCAATCCTTTGGTCTCAAGATCTGGATTTTCTAAGGAAACTTCATCCAGTTTCAAACGGTCTTTCAGTTGAAGTACTACCTCTCTGGAGTCACACGGCTGCGACATGAGTGTTTCTATAGCCTTGCTTGGAAGTACAAGCAATTTTTCGTCAATTCCTGCGAAAGGCAATGATTCTTTACAACTTCATGTTCGACTTTCAGCATTCAGACTTGGAAAAAAAAGCACAGGCGCTCTGTAGCGCTATCCCCGGCAGGGACAGAGTGGTTACCACATTTGCAGTATAAAGATAACTACCATGGGATGCTAGAAGTGGATTAAGATGTCTCCAAGAGACGAATATTTTTGTCGGAATGGTTTTAATTACACACAATAACTTAGTTCACTCGTGACATTATCCATCCACCCTTTCAGCGTGGCAGTCTTACCTCCTCCAGAAGCTGAAGGTCTTGACTCACTTTCTTCAGCAATAGTCTATAACAAAGAAGGAAGAGATAATTAAGAAAGGTTGATTTTAAGTGCCCTGAACGCTATCTTATGGACCGAAGTTGCCTTGTGGGCGGGCGAAGGGGAGTCATTTATAACGTTTTTATTAACTAATCTATCACGGCTATTGAAAATTTAAGGTTTGAAATATATTTCCGTCTTAGTCGAATTCAAACATACAGAATTTTTCACTTCTTACGGAGATTGTTTGCTAAACACCAAACTTTAAGTTCCTTGAGTGTTAGATTTTCAGTAGCAGGTCTAAATCACACAAAATTTGGCTTTTATTGATTTCAAAGTTTTTTGTTTGTTGTTGTCATAGTAACATCGATTTTACTGAAAACTACATTTTTACAAATTTCAATCCATAGCCAATTACTGGTGAAAATTTTATAGCGATCGGACAAGGAAAAAACCAGTTTTAAGGCGATTGAAAAATATCGGTATGGCCTCTGAAAAACTGTATCGTAACACCTTAACCAACAGGGCATTTAGAAAACGCTAAAACTGTATTAAGTGTACACCCACAGGACCATCGCTAGTGTCTGGTAGATCGAGATGTCCATTAATAAAACCAGGCTGATTTTGCAGTTAATAAGGAGAGAAAAGAGTAGGACTCAATCACGATCGTGTTCGCTTAATATTGGAATCACTTAACACGGGTTTCAATCTTTCTCATAGGTTTGTTGTCATCGCTCTCGTGAGAAAATACTGAGGTTTAACAAAGCGAGAGTGTATGATTAGAGTGTTTGTGATAACCAAAGGCTGACGCTAAAGGAATAGATAAAATATAACCGGGTTTGGTAGTAAATGTTTTAACGGAATTTACAGCAAGAGTTAGAGTCTATTCACCTGTTCATCTGAAGTTTCAAACCAAGGTGCAAACCGTTTCACGTGAACTTTATTAATTTCTGCAGAAGGACACCTGCGACACCTGATGAAGTCTTTGGCCTTGCGCAAATCAGACTCAGGTACAAAGTGCAGACATTCCTCTTGCTCACACCGCCACTACTTGTGATGTTTGCAGCAGTAATTAGCTCTACGTTCTTGGCAACAAACGGGGCAGATCACACCTACTTTGTATTTCATATTTTTAAGCCAAAAGAATTCTTCTCGCATGCACTCAAGCATCAATGTCAGTTGTCTTCGCACAGTACGAGCACACCACTCTTCAAACCCATCATAGTTGGGAACTGCCGACAGGTTCAGCTTAGATTGAAAAGATTCTATCAGGTTTGCCCTGACATTTCCTCTGTGAACCACAACTTCAATACACGACGAATGGCATCGAAGAATTACAGAGCAGTCGTCATCTGCAGAGGTGTAAAACCGCGCAAAATTAGCGTACAACTGAGGATTCTCTGCACTCCAAACTTCGTCTTGGCCCCACTGAAAGAACTGCAGCAAGAGTCGGGGAAAAAAGCCTGGAGGAACCTGCCCAGATTCGAACCTAATATAAAAGGATGGAATTTGTGAGGAGGCTACCAACCTGATAATATCCTCTGGTGGATGAGACATCAGCATGGAGGGCACGAGATACTGCCTGCCACATGAAGCATCTGATGAAGGCCAAGGACAGAGCAAGCTAAATTTCTCCATGATTTCAAGAAGGCTCGGAAAAATTTCTTTTGGAATTAATAAAGATCCCACACAAGTTGCAAAAGTTTATACTCCAAGATGCCCTCTGTTTGAAGCCTTCTCCACAATTCTCTTTCTTTTCCTTCATAGGGACCCGGTTTTACAGTTATCACCGACGTAAACAAGTTTACCAACCACTGAGGATCCAAGATGACCATATTATTCAAAAGTAGTGAACTGTCGAAATGAATCAAGATTCTTTGGTCATGTAGAAAGTTCAGCAAGGTTGCAAATTCTTGACCATCCTCAATGTGACACAGTTTGGACGCAATCAGCCTTGTCTCCTCCAGGAAAATCCACTTTTTCCCCTCTTTTACTTTGGTTTGAAGAGCCTTTTCGAATCTTAGCCACTTTATCGGGTAGTCTTCTTTCATCTGTGGTAGCTCTTTAGCAACAGCAAGGACTTTTTCCCACAAGCGCTTGACTTCTGAACACTCTGCTTTACTTCCTGACTTTGTGTTATCCACAACAAAAACGTCTTGATACAACTGGTTTTTGTAAGGCTTGGTCTCTAAGGAACCAAATACTTCACGTGCTAGCACAAATGGATCTGCCCCACCACAGGGTTCATCAGCATGAGTACAAACAAGGAGCACAGCGGGAATATTCATTGGTGATTGACCCAAACGTATCTGCTGGTTTTCATCTTGATTGGCTATTGAAGCAACCCATGTCATCCAGAAATCCAGATAGTCTAGGTTACTTTTACAATCGTGGTTGTCTAAAATCATGCTGTACATTCCTTGCTTCACGGTGGGATCGGCTCTGGCATGAAGACCTCGGCTGAGGTCAAAAACTAACAGGTACACTGCTCTTTGTGTGAGGAAAAGTGGATGCGTTGCATAGTATACAGGTTGTCCAGCAAAGTCCCAAACAATTGAATACACTTCCGCATCATCTCCAACTCTTTCTTTCTCAACTTCCTCTAGTAAGTTTTTTATCTTCTCTGCTACCTCATCTGGTATCTCGACTATGCAGTTTTTTTCTTCTTGGCGAGCTGCAAAAACTGCACCAGATTCTTGAACAGATTCTATTGCATTTTTTGGTGCCACACTTGATAATGCAACTTTTGCCTCATTTAATGGCAAGTCATCCTTTGAATTATTTTTTCTGTCATTAGTTAAAACTTCAACGACTAAACGAGCTATGTGGTGCTCAAAAGAGAGGGCTTCTCTGAAATTATTCTGTGCCTGATTGTCCATTGTATTCTCACTTGGAATGCAAATATCTGTTGTAACACTGAAATGTGATGGTCCAACATCTATCCCCACTGTGCTGTCCTCGTCTGGGTTGAAGGGTTTTCCCATCATCGAATTCTTAAGGCTGGTTTTTCCGGAGCGATCTTGTCCAATCACCATGACCGGCAACCTCTTGAAACGAGTTTTCCCTTCATTTAGAGCCTTGTTGTAGGCTTCCACAGCCAAGGGACCACGTAAATTAATCACTTCAGGAACGACTGTGTACGCAACAAACATAAAGTGAAATGATAGTCCAGATTTGTATATCTATTTGCCTAATCACTTACTTTTTTTGTTCTGTCAGTGTGACGAAATTATCACAGAGGGGATAAGTATTCCTAGAAACACAGTTGATACAAATTAACTCGGCATTGGAAAAAAAAAAAACTGACGCGCTATTCTGTTGGAAGATAGATGGTGAACAGGCCGTATGAGTCGGAGGAGAGATTCGGCTAGCAAATTTCCGAATTACGGTATAGCATAGAATGAACCGTGATTTTTTTTAACAGATGAGAGTGTTTTCAAATCAGTTCGACCTCTAGTAAACTAAGGTCAAGTTGCAATTCGATGACGGTCTCAAGAGTCAAGTGCGTGAGAACTAGGTATCGACCTGCTTCCTCCTGCTTTGACTCTAAATGGACCTACTGAGACCTAGGGCGTTTTGATACTATTGCGGAATTTTCTAATTAGGCTTAGTTTACCATGCATGCAAGCACTTCCGTTTGAAAATTTACTCCTTCCACCTCGCGTCCAATTTCAACTTTTCTTTCTTCACACACTTGAGTCCCGCCGCTCACAAAAATTAACCCCACTAAGCTATAATTTTAACCAGGTTACATTTAGAAGAATTTTTGATTGGGTTATTAAAAATTAACCTGGTTAGTATCTTTTTGTTAAAGTTTTCAGTCTTCCCAAGCCAGGGACCGATATAGTGGCTGATAACGTAACATGCAGCAAATCTTACCTTCAGCCTGCTGTTTATACTGATCATCAAGATACATTATATTGCCAGCAAACCCTAAATGGTCTATAACATAAAACAATGTCATTTTCTTGTAAGTTTTGAAAAAGAAAAGTTATCATATATTTGAAACAAGTAAAGAGGATACGAAAAAGTCTGCAAAAACTGATATCTAATCACCACTTGATCCGAATGCCAAACATGATCGAACATCTTTGATTCTAAAAGGAACTAGAAAGAGCTAGGGCGGGTCAATGCTATGGCGGAATTTTGTAAATTTAGGCTTTACTATGGATGCAACTGCAGAGCACTTCAGTTTTGACCTTGCGTCCAAGTTCAACTTTTCTTTTTTAACACACTTGAGTCCGGGCACTCAAAAAACTAACCTTACTAAGCTGTTTTAACCAGGTTACATTTGAAAGAATTTTTGATTGGGTTATTAAAAATTAACTTGGTTAACTTGCTAAGAGCGGCTGCATGCACTCGTGAGAAGATGCTGACTTGATATGTCATAAAACTACTTCCTTTAAGGGATTTTTTTCTGACAATGGTTATGGTGCCCCATCGGACTATGAACGGTGTTACGTTTTGTCAAGTATCACCTGATCATAGTATTGGGTTAAGAGATTGCCATAAATAAGGAGCATCATGTTTTTAACCATGATATGGTTACATGAATAGAGAAGGTCAAATTTTTGTTTGCGCAGAACCTTGCAGTGCTCTTATACAAAAAACAACCCCCCAACTACCAGTATAATTTCTCTGAGTGATACGGTTTGGAGTGAGCTTTAGGGAGGTATTTTTGAAAGTTTTGTTTGGTGATAATTTAAGAGCGACTGTCTGTAAATATCGACCAAAATCGACTTTTTGTGGCACAAGCTTAAAATTCGAATTTCGCTCATTTTTGGCTCATCGATAACCCTTAATGAGTAATGAAACATGCTGTAATTAGTTTTCCCAAATAATGTATTCTTTTGTTAAAATTCGAGAAAACGCATTTTGCCCGTTCGGAGCTCAAAATCCACTTCCGGTAAAGCGAAATTTTACACAAATTCCATTGACTTGTACGTCAAACCACAACGATTTGGCAGCCTTTGTAGAACACGAATAGTTTTTATGACCCTTTCTTTCTTATAAGACGATAAATTTGTGAAAGCTGTAATAAGTTTGTGGCCAAAAAGGTATTGTTAAAAATAGGCCCTATTGACAATTTCTACCGTTCAAAATTATAGGGTTAAAATAATGTAAATT